GGGAGAGACTAGACGGTTTAATGAGGCCCAATCTGTGGAGCGGTTCCTCTTTTCTTTCTTTTTTTTTTTAAGGAACAGGAGATGGGGTATCGAATCATTTTAGGGTTGTGAAAAGAACTGGTGAGACCTTGAGCCAATCTGTACCGGCCCCCTGCCCCTCAGCCTGCGACGGCTCCGAGGTCCCGCGCCCCCTCTCAAGGAACAGGGCTGAGGAGCCAGCTTCTCTGACCGTGCAGGCGTCGCTGGGCCGGACCCCTCGAGGGAGAGTTCGGTTTTTCCGAATAGGGAGGCCCAGATGTCCCCAGACCGAGGCCCTCAGTGTCTTGGAGTAACGGCGGGGGAGTTCGGAGGGAGGGAGCGGAGCTAGTTAGATAATATTTGGAAACAGGTGACTGAGTCATCCAAAACGTTTCAGCGCTGCCCCCTCAGTGGTGCCCTTAGGGAGAGTTTGCTTCAGGCTGGGTTCCTTGGGGGAATTAAGTTTTACTAGTTTAAGTGGTTATTAGGGCTAAGAAATGCAACCGCCTCATTAGCTCAGAATATCTAAGGCTCAGCTTTGATTTCTGGTGCAGCTTACAGATACTGGTGGTGGGATAATATGCGTGGCACTGGGGAGTAGGGTGACTCACATTGGCTATTGTGCAGGTCAGATCCTGTCACTTGAATATGGTTCTGTCATTTGAATACCCCAAAGATCCCTCTTAAGAAATGAAAGTTGATGTAAAAAAAAATAAAAAAGAAATAAATCGAAGTTGATGAGAGAATGGCGAGCAGGTAAATGACTACTGCTCGACCTAAGAACTCGAAGTACCAGGATTCAGACAAAAGGCAGCTTATAAATGGTTTTTCAGAGTTTAACAGAAGCGCAGACTAATAGCACTCTGTGCGTCATTCTCTGACTCTCATTCCTAGTCAATGACCTTTGAAGTCCATCATTATGAGATGGGGAGAAGGTAAAGAGGAGAGTAGGGCCATTATTTTATTAGTTTTTTTGTTAAAAGCTGTTAACTTTAATATCAGTATTCTCCTCTTTTGGGTAATATTATTACATCACTTTCATTAACATTGACTACATTTTTCATTGATTAGTGCTTTAAATTTTCCTTCTTACTCGATTGCATATCCTGATATTTTTAAATTATTCGTCTTGTGCCCATGTTTACCATGTAATATTTGAGATATACACAATTATGTGTAACAAGGAAACAATGAAATGAACACGCATGAGCGTACCACCCAACTTGAGAACCAGAACACTGCCAGTTTTATTGAGAACAATGCATCCACCAATTCACCACCAGAGGTAACCAACTGCCCTAATTTTCTTAGGCCACTTTTGATGATGGTCTCTTCCTCACAACACCAATTCCTGTTTTTGTACTCCAATCTCCAAATGAAGGAAAAAATTGAAGACCTAAAAAAAAAAAATTCAAATGTTAAATGCGTCTTGTTTTTGACACATGGAATTACCAGTCTCTCTCTTTCTTCTTCTTTTTTGTCCATTGCTCAATTCCTTGGTAATGTTCCACTGTCTAATCAGCTTAGAATTTGAGATTTATAAGGACAGGGAATATGATATATCTTTGATTTATTACCAGTGTCTAACTGTGGCAAACTGTCAATTACAATAACTTTGGAATCAGGTGACTTAGTTTCTAGCCCTGTCATAAACTACCTATGTGATTTGAGGCCAATCAAAGAAGTTTAATGTCTGCAGTGTGTTTAGCATTGTGCCTGCCACAAGCAAGCTCACTAGTAGAATGTAATCTCCCTGTTGGCAAGGACTTTTGTCTTTTGTTATTTTTTTGTTTTTTCTTTCACTATTATATCCCCAATGCTTAAAATAGTGCCTGGCACATACTAGGCATCAGTAAATAAAAATCTGTTTAATTAATTAATATGCAAACTAGTTTTAAAAATGCTTAATTTACTTGGATCTCAGTCTTTTGATCAGTAATATGATCATACCATGATTATAAAGTTTCTTGGATCTCAGTCTTTTGATCAGTAATATGATCATACCATGATTATAAAGTTTCTTTCTACCTGTTAAATTCTTTAGCCCAGCATAGAGCCATGCACAGAGTTTAAGTGTGTGTTGATGAAAACAGACTGACTTGAAAAGTATTTCCCCCAGTCTATGGGCTACTGGCTGTGTACACAAATATGTAAGCAGCAACCAGTTTTCTTCACTCCATTTCACTACCCCCTCCCTGTCTCTACTTAGCTCTTACTTTTGCCTTTGGTTTTCAGTTTGCATTCCGTATGAAGCACCTACCCAAGACAAGGCCTTCCCACACTTGTGTCTTCTCCTTCCCCCCATCAGGCTGCCTACCTGCTTATGTAATTCTGGGGTTTTGTGGTCTCTTAGAGTATTTTGCTCCTGGTACCGTAGGCCTTCTGGGTGATCTTTGATTGTCATGTAGGTTTCATGATCAAACTTGCTAATAAGAGAGAGTTGAGGATTTTTAGGAACTGGACTTTTATTCTGAGAGTAGGATAAATAGGCCATGGAGCTTGCATAGGAGAATCCATTAGCTGTACTGCCCTGTTAAGTATAGCCCTAGGGGCCAACATCATTTGTAGCTTCCAGGGAGGAAAATGTCAGCCTTGTTAATTCTGATTCTTTTTTCTTCCTATCATTTTTATTTAAAACCCTTTTTAAAAATCTTGATTTTCGTAATTGTTTTCTTTTAGAGCTTTTTTTGTCTGTTTTGCTCAGATTGGGACATGTATTTTTTCCTTGTTAAGTTTTGATGAGGAGCTCAATGAGTTAATTGTATCAATGCTTGTTATTAATAAAATACTTTGATATAGGTTGGATGTTAAAAATAGGAATGATCTTGTTAAAATGAGTTCTTATTCAGTCTTATTAGTGACTCTGGAATACAATCCACAGTTTCAAGTGTGCTTCCTCCTTTTTGTATAATTTAGCTTGTGAAATGGATAAAATCATGACAAAAGACCTTCATTCAGACATTTTGGCCTTCTGTCTCTCACTGGCCTTATTTTTGTGTCTTGATTTATCTAAATTTACCTGAGAAGGATGCAGACTTGTTGCAGATATTCTTAAATTTTTATTTGGAATTTTTGGTGCTGGGTCATTGTGTTAGTTCATTTCTGTTTATAACAAAATACCTGGAACTGGGTAATTTGTAAGGGAACAAAATTTATTGCTTACAATTTTGGAGGCTGGAAGTCCAAAGTCCAGGGAACACATCTGGTGAGGTAACTCTACAGTAATGCAGGGTGTCACATGGTGAGAATGGTGGAGCAGAGAGAGATTCACGTGCTCTCCTTTTAAAGCCCTCAGAACCAGGGCCATGACCACCATTAAACCATCAACTTAATCACCTCTTCAAGGCCCACCTTTCAACTACCACAATAGGATTTCCTACCCTCTTAACTGTCACAGTGGAGACCAAGCCTCCAGCACATTCAGGTTTTGGGGGAACACAATTTAATCCATAATAGTCATCAAAGAACCATACCAAGGGGAATTATTTGAAGGAAATTAACATTGGTAGGATGGAGAGGGGGAGACAAAGGGGGGAAAAAGATTAGAGGAGGCTGTGTTGGAGAGGCATACCTCTCTATTCCTGGCTACTAGGGATAGGTGTGGTAATGGAAAGTTGAGGAAGGAAGTGGTTTATTTTTCTCATAAACAGTATAAGACAGTGTGTGGAGGAGGCAAAGCTGAACTTACTGGATGCAGGCAGGCATGTTTAAGGCTGGGTCTTAGAGGTGGCCATACAGCTTTGGGATGTAGAAGTGAGAGCAAGATGGGTGAGGAGGTTATGGGGTAGGGTGGGGGTGCAGGGTC